CGGGTGAGGGTCCATTCTTTCAATCCCGGGTACGGCGCCGATCGGATCAGCGATATTAAAGCTTGAGTCCGGAACGGTTTCACGGCGCGGCGCCGGCGGCGGTACCGCGCCTCCCGTTTCGGTAAATGTCGTGGCCAGACGGATGGCCACGGCGGAGCTAATAGCTCCCTTTAGAGCCAATGCGGTCGGACATTTGTCCTCCTCCGCGGCGAGCGCTGCCACCACCTCGTCGCGTACGAGGGGGGCGATCTTCTCGTCCAGCAGGGCGCGGAGCGCGGTGTCCGCATGCTCCGCCACCAGTCTTGGTGCCGTTCGGTCGAGGCAAACCTGCACGACCTGAGGTAGTTCCTCAGCGAGGAAATCCTCCATCCAGGTTTGTAGTCGCGGGAGTAACACGCCGTACAGTACTTGTACGCCGTTCCCCCCACCAGCCGGTAGCCCGGCGGTGGTGTCCGAAACGGAAGGGGTCTTCTGGCCCCTGCTAGACGGCAGGCGTGGCAGGGCTTCCGGATTGTCGATCCGGGGGCGCTGTGCGCCCCTGCCACTGCGGGTACTTGCTCGCCCGGAGGCGGTATCTTCTCCGGCGGAATCCGCACGGTTCATCGTCGATGATCACTGGCGATCGACGCGGTGATTTTCGACCTCTTTCAATCCGATCGGCAATTGCTCGCGCTGGCGATCAAGTGCGGGCTCAACCTCGGTAGTTATACCCTCCACAAGAGTACCAAAATGTGGTATAACTACTTTCGTCCCGACCACTCGGAAACGAGGGGGGTTAGAGGTAACGGAGCGCGCGCCGCTGGGTAACCCACGCGCGCACGCAGACCGTACGGATGGACTCGAAAAGAGAGAAGGCTCACGTGGCCGGTGACGCGCAGCCGGTCGGTAGTGTTAGATCCGGACGCCCGGTCACGGGTTAGAAGCCTGAGACTAAAAGGGAAACCGGAACGGGATAGCAATTAGCCGTAAAGGGAGAGGAGGCGAGTCTGCCTTCCGTTTACTGGAACGGGGCAGGTGCCCCCGGTCTTAACCCCTAAGTGGGACACCAGGACACCTGTCCCGCTACAGTAGCTGTTACTTACGGTATTCCAGCTACTGTGCTAAATTGGCTAATTTGTGCCATTAACTACTAATTACTAGTTAGCCACCGTACGGATTATACACGTGTGCCCGTGGCCACGGTCCCGGCTAACGGTTGTGCCACGTGTTACCCGTAGCCACGCCCGCTGTTACCGGCTGTCCCACGTCGGACCCTTGGGGTACTACTGTACACGGCGGCGGGCGCGTGTACGCCTGCTCGCTACAGTAGCACCCGCCCTCCCCCGCGTTTATCATCTCGCCGGGGGGTTGTGGTGCGGAATTGTACTACAAACGTTTATGCGTTCCCAGGCCAGTTGCACCAAGGGTTTCGTTTATGAACGATATTGTCTCTCTTGCATTGTAACCGCGATCAGCGGCAAAAATAGCATCCGCCATGGGGGCTATGGCTCCCCTAGTTGGAGCCCCTCGCACGAACCTCAGCAGCCTTTTCCAAACGTCAACAATTTTCTGTCGAGGCCTCGAGTAATGGCATGCCAGAATTAATGGATTGAGCGCAGAGCACAGTGCATTGCTCACGGCACACAGTGCTTTAGAATGGTTGTTGAGTTGCTGTAAATTAGTGTACTGTGTGATAGCTCTAGAGCTAAGCCGAAGGTGATCATCGTTGTAGTATAACCCCCCCTGGGGCTTTAATTTAGATTAGATCAATTCAGAATCGGATCGGTTACTGTAGGGCTCGATGCTCTACAGTACCACCACGTGTACCCCCAAGTACAGGGGGCGCACGTGTACACGTGTACGCGCGGGGCCGAAGAGCGCGCACACACGTGTACTGTCAGCCCCGATGGCTGACAGTATTACAGTGTCGACCGACCGCCACAGTACGTCGCTACAGTACATCGGTACTGTACTATTATGATAGGTTATTATGTACCTTAAATATGGCGCGGACCGGCGGCGGTGGAGGAGGAGAAGCACGGACTTGTCACCCACCGAGAGTCAAGGTCCGTCTTCCAGCTTACTTAACACGCGCGATCCGTCTTCGCGCGCCTTAAACGGGACAAAGCGAGTAGGGGACAGACGCGTACGCGAGCGAGCCTAGATCCGCCTCCGCCCGTCAGCGCTGGTACATTACCCAGCGCTGCTCCGGGGCGTCGAGGCGTGGATCGGCCCGGGCGTACGCTCGTCCCCGACCGTCCCGCTCTACCACGATACCAGGGCCCGCTTCCCTGTCTTGTTAGCTGTGCGTTCTCCCTGTCTTCTCCCCCGAAGGGTCTACGTCGAGCTAAAGCATACACACCTCTACGTCAGGGGGGTGTCTATGCTACAATCATCCAGCCAGAAAAGCGTGGCACCAGGTATATATAAAAGGCGTCGGTTCACCGCAGCACACTTTTGTTCCATTTCTGTGATAAGCACGTTGCCTCGTGGTGGCTTGTTAGTCCATCCCATCGTAGTGTACTGGACCCGTGCCCTTTTCTGTTTTGTGCAGCTCAAAGCTGACCAAACGTTGTTGTGGCGGTCAGCAGCAACACCCATGTGAAAAAAATGCTGTTTTCGCGAGACGATACCGTGGTGACTGACTCACCGTATGAAGAGCACAGTACGTGCTGCGCATTAATAGCCATAAACTCTGAGAGTTCAACCGCTGTTCTGTTACGAGACACCAGCACCCGATTTATTGCTTCCCGGACCTTCTCGAGCACACTATTCGGCAACGGAGCTTTGAATAGTTCCAGTCGATTCGGAACGAATGCATCGATATTCCCCAAATGACGATTCTGACCATCATAATCTGCACCTCGCACTTCTTCGCAAACATTGCTGAGAACTGCATTGGCCTCCTTCAGAAAGAGTGGGGCGAGATTCTCATCGACATTATCCACAACTATTTCAACTTTCGCAAAAGCAGATAAATACTCCCAGCCAGGAAGTCCTGCCCGCCTTTGTGCGCTCGACCTAGCGTCTTCGGTGTCACCAGAGACGTGTTGATTGGATGGAATGGAAACGGAATCATCATTATCCACAGTACATCCATGAGCCTGTAAAGGTTCTGCATCTTCCCCCATAAATATGCCGGAGAAATAGTCTTTGATAAAATTTTGAGCTGCATTCACAGCCTAACTATCTCTTTGAACTGCTGAGGAGGTAGAATTTTGGATAGCAGCCAATTCTTCTTCGGTGATTCTGGCATCAGACGAAATGCTTTCATCATCAGAACATGACACTTCTTGCATATCGGCAAGTTCTTGTGAGAAAGAACGATCTCCTTCTTCAATTGACGGGCTTCGTGGAGCCTCATTCGCGTTTTGTAGCGGCTGGAGGGCGGGTGGAGTTTCAGGCACTTCAATATGAACAGAATCTAGAGTACTAAAATGGCCGGTTTGTCCCTGACCACACATAGGGGGTTCCATATGACAGCTATTGCCAATGAAATTATTTCCATTTTCAGATTCTGATCGTTCCGCCTGATGAGACATTGCCCCGCAGACAGCATTAGCAACGTGTTCGTCTTCAGAGGAGGAGTGGTTGAAACCATGGTCACTTCCGAGAACAGGGTCAGCAGGGACTACAGCTTTCGATTGCTGATTAGTGCTGTAGACGTTGTTTGACATATTGTTACTGGGGGAAACGTGATGGGGACGACAGAATAGGATGGAGACAACGGAAGTTTGTAAATGGATGGACCGGGTGATTGTAGAGCGACAAAAGGTAGAAGGATTCTCGGGGGAGCGGCAGAACTTTGAGAGCTGGAAGGGGTGAGAAAGTGAGGTCACCTAGGTCTGAGTGTCCTTCAGTGATGATCGGAGAGAAAAAAGTGATATTTTGCAGTGATTCTGAGCGACCTCACTCGTTTTGCGTGCACAGTAGTGATGATCACAACACTGTTGTGAATGTTCACATCACTGAAGTGATCACTCACTCAAATTCAAGTGATGAAATCACCAAAAAACATCACTTTTTCTACCTGCTGGTCACCATCCCTCACCATTTCTCAGTGATTGAAAAATCATCACTCTGGGAGCATAGGGATAGCGGCTTGAGAATCGCAGTTTACTGGGCGCGTCGACTGAGTGGAATCTTCTGCAGCGTACAAAAGAGGGAAATAGGTGATTTTGTCTTCAGGAAAGGTCTGTGTTTAGGAAGCGTCAGTGGGCGCGAAACGCAGCCTGATGCGCGCCACTACTTCGCTCATGGCGATGCTATCGGCATGAGACATGCATGCATGGGACGTATGCACGGGTTGACGATGAATAGGTAGGATACTGTACCCAGGGTACAAGATGGTACAGGATGGACATGGATACATGCCGTTTCGAAAGCAATGCAGGCCTGTTGCGTGGTGAAGGCCGCCAGCTGTTGAAGGTGGTGTGGAAACGAGCCAATTGCTGCGCAATGGCAGTGGCAATAGGTAGCTCAGGCACGTGCCTCAGGAGGCACGGTGCCCTTCTCTGGCCAGATCTTGAGATATAGAGAGAGAGAGAGTACGGGCGCATACGTATCATGGTATGGTAAGGGAATGAGAGGCGTTCGTTGAAGAGATGGTGCGAGATGCACGGTTCTGTATCAAAAAAAAAAACAAGCAAGTGCAACTCAATGACAGAAGAAAGTAGAGGATGGGTGCCAAGTATGTAACATGTTAGGCTACGGCGCGTCGCTCTCTCCTGTCTCGGCCGCCGGCTTCAACAAGAGCAACAAGGGCAAAAAAAGGCAACAGGCACTGTCGTTGTTGAATTATGTACACGTCAATAGTTTGTTTTTATGTTCCCCCAACCGCGGGGGGAAGAGATTCAGAACTGTTAGCGAAAAAACCTGACACTACTATATACACACACGAGGTTGCGACAGAGAAAAAATTAGACGAAACGTCGCAAGGGGCAGGTATCACCGATTCAAACCCGGGACGACCTGGGGCTGCTCCATATCCTCATCGTCCTTGATCCTAACAAAGCGTCCCTTCACGCGGGGCCGTGCATCGGCGAGCTTCTTGCGGCAGTCGTAGCGAATAAGTTTTCCAAACCTGCGCTCTCTGCGCTTTTGCCTAAACCTGACCAACGCAGCCTCCCTGGTCTTCTTCTTAAACTCGCGAATGAGCTCCTGCTTCTCGTGCTCGATACGATCCTTTCGCTCTGCCTAATTCTCGGGCTTGACGGCGCCCTGGGGGCGGTGTTGCATGTGCCCGGCATGGGCGGGCGGCATGACCATGCCTTGAGGGAAGCCCGGGTGCTGGGGACCGGCAAACATGACCATGCCTTGCGGGGCATACATGGGCCCGGGGGCGGAGGGCATCATCATTTGCGGGTGCTGACCGATCATGAACATGCCGTGCGGGTGCTGGTGGGGGTGCGACGGGGGGAAGAAGGGGTGCTGGACCGGGTGCTGGACGGGAGCAGCAGCAGAGGCGGCGGCGGCGGAAGCGGCGGCGGCGGGGTGCGGCGGGACAGTTCCTTGGTCCTTGGGGTCGGAGGAGGAGACGGTGTGTGGAGATTGTGGAGTTACCGGGGAGGAGTTGGAAGGGACGTTTGCGTCGCCGCTGTTTGGCGAGACGTGTCGTTGTTGGTGGTGTGCGGAGTGCGGAAGCGGGGAGGAGGATGTGGCGGGGGAGGCGAGGGAGGCGGGAGGCATGTGCTTGTCTTGGTGGGGGCGGTGGTGGTCGGCGGGGTCAGCTGCGGGGGAGACGTGTGTGGGCATGTTGAGAAACTCGCGCCGGACGGCCTCCTTAGCGGCGGCCTGGAGGTAGGGGCTCGAGA